TTACTAACCCTTTTTTGAAATCATCTATGTTTGAAAACATCGATAATTTTGGGCAGCAGTTTTAACAGCATCGTTGGATTAATTTTGAACAGAGAGAGTTTGAGGGTTTGTTGTCGATGTATCATCCCTAATCTATATCACTGATGTTCTCTGCTGACGCTGTTACACCTTTCTTACCAAGGCTGATGGTACGTTGACATTAACCTTGCATCATTCAGCAGAAAAAAATATCAGGAAAAAATTGCATCATAACTTCAGGATATACATTGTCACATATCCTTTTTGCTTTAAAGGTTACACATTATTTCCACGGTTGCCTAACATTTGAATTTAGTTTTGAAATATCCTACACTGCTCCTTCTATTCTTTTCAAAGTTATTTTCCCATAGAATGAAGGTATTAATGTTATTAATTGCACATATTTGAAATAGCAAATTATAATAATAATTATAGTTACGTCTTCACAAAATATGTCGTAATTATAGTTTTGTCTTGCGAATAATAGTTATGTCTTCACAGAAAGAAACGATAGTAAGAAGCAGTTTGCTCTGCATTTATTTTTTTCAAAATTAAAAATTAAAAAAATAAATTTCAATATTATTTTAAATAATGTTTTGAATTTATCTCAGGATAATTGCTTAATATTATGAACCTAAGAAGCTGTACTGAAGAATCTTTTTTAAAAGTCTCCGTAAGTAGCAAACAAATAAAAATCATGTGACTTTTTAACATGTTGGCTTTGCGACAACATTCGCCGGAAGGTCCTCGGGTTTTAATCCCGCTGGTGTCGAATTATTGACATTACACAGCTCAGTACAGTTGAATCACCGCAGGACAATTCTTGCGGCTGGTTGCGCAAATGATGGTTTTTGGCGGTTTCTCCAATCAGCATCTGGCGGTGCAGTACCCTAACCAACGGGTCACGTACCACTCATTATATCTCCTTCCCAACTCTTGTGCCTCTGCCTTTCATATGCACTACTCCACCGCCATGTCGGGAGACAACCCTAGACCTTAAAGCTTGTCCCGGTTGGAGCTGTGTTCCTCTGGGGGAGATATTTGAAAAACGGAAAAAAACCCAAGCCAACGTGTAGGTCGGTGACGGCTATCGTATTATTTCGGGGGAGGAACACCGCCCCCTCCCCGAAGGTAACATGTACTACACATACGGGATTAGTTACCTTATTAATTCACACACCCGGAATTGTTATAAATACTCACTCCCCACAGTTAAGTTTGTTCACTTACGCCTTGAAATGCCGCAATTTGCGCTGGCTCCGGATTGGGAGATGTGGATGTGGTCGGGGCGTGAGGCAACAGGGAGTCGCAGGTGCGGCGTGCTTCCCGCCGCGGCCGCTGCGCACGCTACTGGCCAGCCGTGACCGCCGTGACGAACGCGTCCGGACGGCAGCGCCACGCGCGTTCCACTGCGCGCCCTGTTATCTACTTCTGGTTCCGCCCATGCGCCGCCGTGCCACAGGCGAGGGAAATCACTGTTCGACTTTCCTGTTCGAACCGTCACGTAATCGTTTGTTCATAATCAGGCGCTTTTAATCGGTTGTTGTAGCGGCGGTTGAAACTTGTATTGGGTTGTGGACCGTTATAAGATTGGAATTAATGTTTACTGATTGTTGTATCTCTATGAAGATTCAAATCAGAAATTCCATGAAGTGCTCATAGGTGTGACTGGTCGACAAGCTGCTTGTTGCGATGAGTTTTTTTTAAAATAAAAACGCCAGTTTTGTTCTAGTTGTTGGTGCTCCAGGATCAGTAAATCTATAGTTGCGAACAGATACAGTATTTTTTTCTTCAATTTTACGCAGTTTTGTTTTCTTTCCCTGGTTTGCATTATTCTTGTGAATCTGGCAGATCTGGGGATTCGTTTTGCGGATTACTTTAACGTGGGTGGAAACGTTTTTAAATAATCCATTTATTTATCAATTATATAAATTAATTATTTGAATTAATTATTATCAATAATTATTAGACCCTGTGTAAAGTTTAATAAGCAGATTGTATTTAGAGAACTTGAAAACTCTTGAAGCTATTCGAAAGTTCCTCGCCGTCATAATCGTATGTTGCTTAATTGCAAGTGATGCACGACGTGTCTGTTGCTGGGAGTATCGAGAAAATGACGCAATTTTAAGTGTTCGGGAATTAGTGAAAGTAGTTTTGTTTATACGAATGTCTGTCAACGCTGAAGTTGATGTAGTATGTGAAGAACGCGATGACTAAACAGTTTTCTCCGTCATATGCGCGAATGGTTCGCAACGGTGACTTCTATGACGATTTGAAAGTACTAACAAAGAAAGACGAATTTTTCTGAAAGTCATGAACACAATTATAAATTCCATCTCTTTATTTGGTAACTTGTCTTTGTGTTGGCGATGGGTTCTCTTCCGCAAGAAGACAAGACTTGTTGCCGCGGCAACTCGTTTTCGCCAGTGAGAGTGCTGCTATACAAATGTAACATAAACAGTTCTTAGAGGTAACATCGAATTCTTAGGGCAGAGTGAAGTAAAAGTGTGAGTATGAAACTGAAAATGAACATTTTTGTTTTCGAATTTTCTTATTTTATATTTTGAAGAGAGATTAATACAGAGGAAAGAGGAACATTACGTTTTATTCACATGATAATTCATTTCTGCATTTTACAGATTTGTTATGTTCAATTGTGTTGTCAATTATGTTGTGTGATGTTATGAGATGATTATGTGTAATTTTGTGGAAAAACGAATTCAACTGACTCCCGACTTTGCCAGCAGAGACCGTCACAACTCCAGTCATAGCCATATGCGGATGTCTTCGTGAATATCAATCGGATTAGGAGAAGAATTGACGAAAGATTGAGTCTAGCAAACGCTTTTACTTTATTCGACATTCTTTCACCGCGATCCGAGCCCGTTAAATCTGGTTTTGGAAGCCAATTAGCTACCTCCTTCCACTACTGAAGAGGTATGTACTTTGAGAGGCTTACACTTTCTGGAAGTAGTTCGAGGACTTTTTCTACTAATATTCATGAGGAGACAGTAGGGGATGTGAATAATGAAGACATAAAATCAGCACATTTGTAGAAGCAGAAACCAAACAAAGTTGATACGCAAACAAATTAGATTAATGCAACCCAAATGGTATGTTTAACCTTAATCCCTAATCAGGCTACGCCTTGGATAATAATATTTTATTGCTTTGCATGTTGATAATATATTATCTTTGGAAAATATTAATAGAATTCATGCTAGAAAATTATGATAAATAAATGAAGATATTGTCAGGTATCAATATTATTATATATTATTAGAAAATTAGTATATGATTAGAAAATTAATTTTTAATCGTTTACAACGGCGCTTTGCAATTGGCGAAGCCCTTATGCAATAGAATTGCATACCATTAACGTACCCTCTTGCTATCTCTCATTTTATTGCTATATTTTTAAAGGATTTAAACTTCAAGAGAGTTTTAGGTTCTAACAAATCCTAACGTCAGACGTACAGATACCCAGAATAAATGTTTCTGATTTCTTGGGCATGTAAATCAGTATTTCCCAATGAACACACGTTGATAAATCACATAAAACGAAATAACATATGTGATAATTGCTCCCGTCAGCGAACATTGTGTATTGATTTTTGGCACACAAAACACGAATGTAAATTCTTACATCGAAATTTTCATGTACATGTTCATTAACAAAAAACGATTATCTTCGACCCACTTATATGATGTAGAAGTGTATAACATTTATTCTGAGACATATAATACAGCTGTATTACTGTTTGCACTTCTACGCACTACGTGTCCTCCGCGCTGCATGCATTGCACCATTCTCGGATGACGAATCTCTGGTAAAAGATTAGGGAAAAGCGCATTTATTTCTTTTTCCTTCTCCCACTCGCCGTGCCGGAGTGAGTCCACGCCGCTGGATGGGGGGGGGGGGGG